AGTAATACTGGATCAAAATTAGCATTTGAAGTGGGCGTTAGCTGGACGTTATGACTTTAGAAAAAATTTTCGAAAGTGGTTAGGTTGGATAGATCGCGAATAATTCTTCTCACACGCTAACATTTTAATTGTTTACTTTAATACCTGGAAATTAAAGACATTTATCGGTTTTAACGTCAAAATAACTAACTGACAATCAGTGAGTACTGAATGATTCTGCGCAAATGCAACGATTTCATCAGTACTTCTGCAACTCAAGGCATTTTATACTATTAACCATTATGATTCTAAGGCAATACGAAAAAAGCTGCTTCAGACTTCATCTCAGAAAATATCAATGATAAACAACGAATAGAACAGACCCGGCTTCAGTTTCTCTCTCCATTCTTCATCACTCGTCATTAATACTCATAATGCAAGATCAGCTGAAGCTGTCACCAGCACAGTGTAACCTAATGCTACTTTACCATGGTCAAGTATCTGACCATCGCAAAGAGTTCCCGCTGTTCAGTGTCTAACTGAACCAAAACAAAACTGCAAAAGGATGAATAGTTCAGAAAAGTTAGTCCTTTTACAATTTCATATCAGAGACTGGCATCAGCTGGTACTAATGAACTCTTTAGATCATAAAGCAACGACGAAATGTTCGCTTCCAAAGTACAGTTGTTGCAAATGCATCACGTCTCCAGCAGTCACTGGACACGGAGAAGAACTACTTCGAGGTGCGGTCGCACTATACAGTGATTGATGAGCGTCCGGATGCATGGATTTTGGGATGATAAATTAGCGAATGACTACATCACTAAAAGCTAGCTTAATTGCAGATTGTGATTATCTGGTGCAGTCAGTCGTCGGGCAGTTAGTCATTTCAGATGAGAAACGATTAACTACACCAAACGGGCACAACTTGGAACTTGGTTAAGTAAATAATTACCGTGTGAACTCTGTTGAAGTAACGAGGCTTGCGTGGCCGATACTTGTCTGACCACAGATAAGTCTTCTGTGCGAGTGGCGCTTCGATCGAAAACGACAGCTCATCGCTAGTCATTCCTTTGCGAGCCTCCGCTTCCATTACTGCGTCCTTCTGCGACTAAAACGACGGTTAGTAACGGATGGACAGACAAATTCAGTAGGTCTTGTGACTATTACCGTCGCCACGCCGGTGAGACGCTGCTGTTCACGCGAGAACTGCAGACAATGCAGGTCATCAAGTGGATCCAGGATTTCAATGCCGTGCGGCAACGCTTCTTCCTTTAGGTAAGGCGGACTGTAACAATCTTCCATATACGAAGTCGCTGAACAGCCGTCCTTTTCAACCTCGGAAGATTCCCTATAGTTTCCTTGCACTATTACA